TGGGCTTTCGAATGGTGTATGAATTATTTGTGTTGTTATTACAAGTGTTGCTGTGACCCCCTAGGAAAAGGTTATGCCCCGCCCTGTAGAAGCTGGAACAAGTAACGGGACCTCACTCTGTTACATGGCGCTAGGGATTCAAACCGCTGAACTGCCAACCTTCTGATCAACAAGCTCAGCGTCTTAGCCACTGAGCCACTGCATCCCTTGTGGACAGTGTTATAGACAATCTCAAAAATATAGTTAGTCTTCCTGTGGAATTAATTTCTTGATATGGTCTCACAGACCAGGATTTTCAATACTATTGATTTTTTTAGAGGATTTTGGATGGGGGGGTTTCCCTTTAGTTTCTAAAACAACAGGACTTGTACTTTTGCATATTTTCTATCTTAAAAATCTTGCTACCATAGCAAATGTAGTTACAATAGATTTCAGGGATGCAAACAACAAATTTAGGGTTCCATGTGCTCCCCTCTTGGGCTTTGAAATCTACACTGTTGCTCATTCCAGTGTTTCTGGCTATGATAGAAGTGCAATAAAAGCTTGAGATGGGCATGTCCATGAATAATCAAGAATGCACAAGAGTAACGTTTATAATTTTCTTCATTTCATTCTTGTGGGAAAATCGTTCTTACTTCCATAGGGAGGAGGCCGGCTTACCCTGTGAATGATTCCTGCAGAGTGAAGGTGTTTGATACCACACAGCATCTGATAGAGCAGGTAAGACATTCTCTCGTGATCTAACTCCATTTGAATCACCTGGCACAAATTGGCATCCATCAACTCCATTACTAAGTAACTAGACAGGAGAACAAAGTGACATCATCATTCCTTGGCATCTGTGAGATGCTTCCGGTTGTAGCATTTATTTCTACAATTTCAGCCTTTCCCAAATACCTGTAAAAGGTAAAGGTTCCCCTCGTACATATATTCTAGTTGTTCCCGACTCTAGGGGACGGTGCTCATCTCCGTTTCAAAGCCAAAGAGCCAGCGCTGTCCAAAGACATCTCCGAGGTCATGTGGCTGGCATGACTAAACGCCAAAGGTGCATGAAACACTACCTTCCCACCAAAGGGGGTTCCTATTTTTCTACTTGTATTTTTACATGCTTTCGAACTTCTAGGTTGGCAGAAGCTGGGAAAAGTAACAGGAGTCACTCCATTATGCGGCACTAGGGATTCGAACAGCCAAACTGCCGACCTTCTGATTGACAAGCTCAGCATCTTAGCCACTGAGCCACCGCCTTCCTTGTTTGTTTGTATCCCACCTTTGTTATTTTTTACAAATATACTGTATTTGAGGCACTGAATATATCCAACATGTCTTCCTCCTTCTATTTCTCCTATCTTCCTCACCACAGCCCTGTGTGCTGGGCTGAGAGAGAGTGATTGGTCTAAAGTCATTCAGCTGGCTTTCAAGGCTGAGATGGAACTAGAATTCACTCTCTACTGGTAACTGGCCCAAACTCACCCAATCAGCTTTCATGGCTAAGGCAGGACTAGAACTCACCATTTCCACCTAGCTTTCATGACAAAGGCCCACAGTCTTCCGCTTTCTTGCCTGGTTCTTTAACCACTAGACCAAACTGGCAAATTGCTCGTCCTCAGTCACCAAATGATATTTTATATCATGGCTTATAAAGAGTGGTTCATGGCTTAACATTAAGCTTGAAAAACTTAGTTTCTTTAATAAACAAATCAAGAGTTAGAACAATATGTGAACCCAAATTCTGGCTAGCAACATTTTTGTCACCTGCATTGTTTAAATAGATATATCTAGAGTTAGATTCTGAATTTTGGCCTTATTTCTAAATAAATATATATATAGCTTCCTCCCATAATTGGGGCTTAGCAGGGGTTGTAAAAATCTAATGGATACCTTTCACCCTGGCTTCGCTGATAACGGATAAGAGCCTGGGGCCTAAGGGCTAAGAAGTTTGCCTAGTATGTAATATAGGTTCAAATCCTAGTAAGGGTATGGCTAGCGGATGAGAGCTAAATAGCTTGAGAGAGATCTATACTAGTCTCCCTTTATTTATTTATCAGCACAAATAAAAAAACATATATTACATACTAGGCAAACTTCTTAGCCCTTAGGCCCCAGGCTCTTATCCGTTATCAGGCTCTTATATATGTAAATGTATA